AAACAATTATAGCCTCGATATGCATGAAATCTGATCTCAACTAAATTCACCCTGCCATTAGTTTTACACAATGATGTATAAATCTAGATCTGTAAAGGATTAAAAACTATTAATAAGTAGACTAAAATAATTTATTATTAAAGTAATGTGTAAATAAAACAACAACAAATCATTCTTCGAACGTTGTGCTATGCATTGCAAATATACAATTTGTTTTTCCCACTTTTCAGAACTTACATTTCTGTTCATTGTTATGTTTTGAAAAGTCCACCACACTTTAACGTTCTATGAACTGATTAAGATCTTTATTATGCAGGTAATTTTACTTAGATCTATATAGCACCACGCTTTTTTTGTACTGTGTCAATAATCGGACGTTTGCGTGTAGTGAGAGCATTCCTGCATTTTGTCTAAACATGCAGATTGAATATGTTCTGCTTCAGATTTCTTCTGTCTAGCTGAGCATGTTTCGGGTTCCAACGTCAGTTTTAGTTTTTCCTCTACTTATTTCTATCGTTTTATTTTCTTACTTTTATAGTTTACAAATTTTGCTAATTTAGTCTTAAGTTGCTGTCTACTTCATTTTTTACATGTATTAAAGTAATGTACGATGATGGTAATCAGTTCTTTAGATTGTACGTAAAACGAACATCAAAAACTAAAAATAGTAAGCTTTTTATTTTGATTCCAATGTAGGAAAAAGATGCTATCGAATTCTGATCTTCTATATATGTATATAACTTGATCATTAACTATCTTTGTTTTAAAAGATTACACCCAACGTCATTCTGGTAGTATTAGAAGTGTATCAGTGGGGATCCACCTTTTTTGGTTGTAGTTGTTTGTATACATTACATAAATTAAAATAGAATCCGTAAGAGTAAAATGACTGAAAGTACCACATATTTTTTACCCATTTACTAGTTAGCAATCCGGGTTGCGTACCAGAGGTCCAAAATTCGTGCCATGATGCAGCTGAATATGCTTCACACTTTCAGCTATAGATGTCTCAGATTTTCCGTTATTGTTTCAAAGACCCGAACAAAACTCTTGTGGCGGCGGATGCATATAGTCAGTAGTTCAAAATTAAAGAATGCTTTATCCGAACTGTAAAGGCTTCTGATCTATGAGCTTAGTGATGTATAACGTGCCGTTTAAATTGAAAATTCCATTTTCTAATTGCCTCACTTATCTCGGACCAGAAAATTTTTGTGGTCGAGAAGCTACCGTAAAGAATATTATTAACTCGATTACTAAGCTGATGTAAAAGATATGTTCATCAAACGTTCAAATTGCCTTCGTGTGTTCTGTAGTTATACTATTTTTGACGTTAAAAAAGTATGTATCAAGGGTATAGTAAAGTTTTTGTAGGTATAAGAACGTCATTCAATTCTGATTGTGGATCGGGCCTGTGGTATCGCTTTAAAGTTTCAGAACTTGGGACCCGAGCTCGAATTCATACGAGTCCACAAAATATTCCCCGCAATTTAAGTTGTGATGCAATATAAGAGTGACAGCCAATCCCTCGGTGTAGATGATGGGTGGTGCTGACTGGCTGGCTTCCTTCTATAGTGAACAGTTCAATAGCCTTAGGAGCTGTAACACAAATACGAAGTACATACATAAATACCAGTTATTCAATCTCTGATCGAACACCATCATTTGTAATTGAATCGTATTTTCTCTTAGAGACACGTGTAGTGAAAAAGCTGACATATACGTGAAATCTCTGTAACGTCTACTGTTAACAGTAACAACTTTATAAACTGTCGAGTCCTCCATAGTTATATTAACTGTAAACTTCACACACACATATATTTTAAGTGGTATTATGTACAAGAACTATGCACACTAATAATCCTCTACTATATCAGTTTTCAACATCGTGTAACAATTTGTTCAAAAGTGCGAAGTTTCGAACTTCTTATCGATTTGTATGTGTCTGTCTCTAACGTAACTCTTTTATCACTCTCTCTTCTCTGATCCTTCTTTCGTTTTTCTTGTATTTATAGATATTTAGGTTATGTAAGTTTGTTTGTGATTTATATTACTGTTTCTCTTACTTCCAAAATTCATACGTTTTATTTATGTGTGTGTGTTTAATATTTTACATATATAACCTATACAAAAGCCAGTGTGTGTGTCACGCAACATCACCCTTGACTTCCCGAAATAGGAGGAGTCATAAAAGCCACAATGCATTTATCCAGATAGTATAGTTCGATTACTGTCTGCCCATTACGATTTTAGTGACGGGGGTGCAAGAGGCCCGTGAGGGGGGCGTGAAACTTTATATCATCAACGTTTTTAATAAAAAAAGCAAACCTTATTAATCAACGGAGACTCTAAATTAAGAAATCAAGAAATATTTTTCCAGGTTTATTGTCTATACATTTCAGTACATAAACTAACAACAATATTAGATTATATTTTTGTTGCTAAGGAAGATGACATAAAAGCCATTGCTGGAACGTAGTGTTATCAAAACGCACTGGCTTTTCTATATATTCTAACTGATTTTTACCAATAATTAATCTATGAATACGCCACAAATTCATTTCATGAATGATCTTAATTTTGATTGACTCATAAAGGAAATTATCGACGTTTGACTGCCTCGACTGCACTTTTCTGCCTTTTTGTTGGTCAAGCTTGATTTCGCAAAATTTATTTATTTCAGTTAGGTATGAACTGTAAGGTTAGGGTATACTATGATATGGGGGTGGTAGTACTTGCCCCGTAATTTTTGACAGGCTATACTCTAGTCTTCGCATATTTGGCTTTCAGTCCTCTTCTGTCTTGAGTCTGTGTACACCTGTATGTGTATATATATATATATATATATATCCCAAGTGTGTGGCTCAGCGATAAGTATGAGAGCTTTGATACTAAAAATCGGGTTTCGATACTCGCGGTCGTCAGAACACAGGTAGCCTATTGTGTAGCTTTATGCTTAAAAAACAACCAATCAAAGAAAATATTTTCCTTACACAGTCTTTGGATGCTGTTTTCTCTTAATACTTCATATTTATCCCAGAATAGTTTTGTTTTTCTAAGTGTATCTATAGAATAGATAAATATTTATGAAAATCGTAATGCCTTACTCGGTGAGTACACTTTATAGCTTGTACAGCTGGTAATCAGCTGACCGACCGGTGCTATCGAAAAAATAAAACGATCGGCTTAAATGCGGACACAGTTTTGACATACTGGATAATTTGACCTGTTATATAAAGGAGAATAAGGTAATTTCACACGAAACTTCACCACTAGGATACTGTGTGTCATTATTGACCGTTTTGTGGAATTCGTCTGCAGTGTCATTTGGTAAAGCGTGCTTGCATCAAAAGAAAATGCATCCGGTGTTGATATAGTTAAAAGGCATATTAGCATCAATAGTTTAACGTTGTTTTTTTATTATTATTTATACAATTTTTAAATGCAAGCCTTGCATAAAACGCTTTCTATGTTTATATATCAGCGGAATATTTACCTGTTGTGTCTATCTTACTAAAGAGTACGACAAACCAAATTCAGATAAGTCGACAGATATGTATAAATAAACAACGACTTTTAGTTCCTGAATAAATCATACATCAAAAACTGTCATCGATGCTAACATCGTTAGACATTTGTGTGTGTGTGTGTGTATATAATAAGGTAGTATTTGCTGTTACTTGCATGGTGTGATCATTCGTATTTGTGTCTTATACACAGCTAACATTGGACAAAATACAATTTGCCACTGAAGAAAACTCGAGGGGTAATTTGATGGTGATGATTTCAGAAATGTAGTTAGAATTTGTCCATCACTTCTAGATTTTGAGTTTTTATAATATCTCAATATTTTATCGGCAGTATGTGAAATACCATGTAATCAACTCGATATAATAAATTTATGTTGTGAAATTAAGTTTACTTGAACAGTTTAATGGGTAAAATGCATACATTTTTGATAACTTCAAACACTCGACTGAGCATAAAAGGGCGGAATCAGAGGCCTCTCATTCACTCAAATGGTCACTTCGCCTCGCTCTGTGCACAGTCAAAGCAAAGTCTGATCTTATTTCTTAGATCATACCCGCGATATAATCAAATTCTGCAAAACTTTGTTTTTAAAAAATTTTTAATCTCTAGTTCTGTAAACATAAACTCTTTTATATTTTTTAGAAAATCATTTGAAATGCTGGCTGCTTCCAGTTCAAGTACAGTCTAAAAGTGCAAATATCATCCAAACAGTTTCTGTTACATTTGTGGAAAATATATTACAGTTTTACAAAGGAAAAACATCACACACACACAAGGTAAAGGTACCTTGCTTCCACTATTTTTGGTCTAAACTTGGTGACCAAGAAAAACACTAGACTCCTCACGTGTGTTGTACAGTTTGCACATCTGACTTGACACAGACAGCAGGTATGCAGTTCTCATGATATGGCATGAACCCAAAGATCATATAACTGACTGTTATTTTTGCATATCTAATATTTGTGGATATTCAGGCAAAACTAAACAATACATTGAATATCCAGATGTTGCATCTGCAAGGAAATCAGTACCTCATGGGAATGATCTTCCAGTGCCACATCTACCAGCGAATTGGGAAGCAGAAAAGTTATCATGCGAAGAAGACAATGAATCATTTTCATCTAGTAATTCTATTCCTGTGGCACTCCAACATAAACTACCTCATGTGATCACACAAGAAGAGCTAAATGATCTTATTCATGACTTGTTTTTATCAAAGCAGCATGGGGGAACTTCTTGGCTCTCGATTACAGCAATGGAATTTTTCAACTCCAGAAATAAGATTTTCAATTTACCGAAGTCGCTATTAAGGTTTTGCTTCTCACTACAGCATGCAAGATACTTGGTGTTTCTATACAAATGTGGATGCACTGATAGAAAAATTAGGTGCTGAACATCATCCTCAAGAATGGAGATTGCTAGTTTGAAAGCTATACTTTTGTACAATGTAAACACTAAGCCATCGATTCTTGTTGCTCATGCTGTGAACATGAAAGAAACTTATCAAAGCATGCAGATTATACTTGAGGCCATCAAATATGATCACTATAGGTGGAACATATGTGGTGATCTAAAGGTTATTACACTCCTGCTAGGCCTACAGAATGGGTATACCAAATATTGCTGCTTTTTGTGTCTTTGGGACAGCCGAGATGATAAAAATCGTTTCAAAAAGAAGAACTGGCTAGTGAGAGAGAATTACACACCAGGGAAACAGAATGTCGAGTATCAACTTTTAGTGAATTTTCAAAATGTGTTTCTGCCCCCGTTTGATATTAAATTGGGACTAATGAAGAATTTTGTAAAAGGAATGAATAAAGATGTTAATGGTTTCAGGTAACTGTCTGACAAGTTTCCAAAAATCAATTAAGCAAAAATGAAAGGAGGTATCTTTGTTGGACCACAGATTCGGGAAGTGCTGATGGATGATGATTTTGTTCGTATGTTGAATTTCTTGCAAAGTTACACGAGGGCTATTTGCGTTAGTTGTCCCTAATTTAGCAGTGAAAGACTAGAGGGAAGGCAGCTAGTAATCACCACCCACTGCCAACTCTTGGGCTACTCTATAACCAACGAATAGTGGGATTGACCATCGCATATAATGCCCCCACGGCTGAAATATGCTCGAGTAGTACAGGAAATGGGATCTAGGATGTCACTAAAGATGCACTTCTTACACCCCCATTTAGACTTATTTCCAAATGATCTAGGTGCATTGAGTGATAAGCATGGTGAGCTCTTCCGCCAACATATTTCTACAATGGAGTAGTGATATCAAGAATGACGGAATCCT